TGAATAGCGGGGTTTTTTGGATGGCAATGTGGACGCCATTCTCCCCACGTGTTAATCTGATTAGCAGACAAATCTACGCCGACACCTTGTAGACAGCGCCTTCTCTGACTAGCGCTGTTCCATTTTGACCGTAGAGCATGCCAGATAACAATAATGCCATATAGAAACACATATATAACACTGAGCGACTGGCTAGGGGGGGGGGGTGCAACAACTAAGGTAATGGCGGAGTGTTCATTTCAAGAAAACGACTCTGACGCCAGGGTTTGACGGCTATTAATAACTTGCTGCATCTCTGAAGTACTGCCCCCCACCAGCGCCCCGTGCGCCAGTGCCAGGCCACCGGTCTGAAAAAAATACAATGTGTCAAGCCGAACAATCGCGAAACAATCAGTGCGCAAATTGTTATAGCCAGTCTTGCAAACTGAAATGCGGAATATAACCTTGCCCACTGCCGCGAATGCGGAGCGTTAAGCACTAGAAATTCGTAATGCATTCCGCAGCAATGCGGAATGCTCGGTTGGTAGACCCTGCAAACACATCGATGTTAGTATTCTCTCATATTTTCGCGGTCGCCAAATATATTCTTTTGGGCCAGTGACCTGCCTGGTTATGCCTGCGCAAATTTCGGTTCGCCCAAGCAAGACATTGCCGTCGCCAGTGCGGACCCTGGCGACCGCTCTATTTCAGGCACTGCCTATGCGCATCCAAACGCATAATTTCTCACGCTTACTAGACTAGCAAATACTTTTGTGTCATGGCATAATCACAACCACCTTATGGCAAAATAAACTCTAGTTCCTCCACATTTCACGTGCGCGTTTGCCTAAAACCCACAAGCAAAGATGAGTCGCGACAATCTGGTAATCTGGCCACGCCAACGCTAAATTGGTTTGCCAAACAATTTTCGCAGAGAATCGCGTTAGCCGTGACGTCACGTTTTTATTTGCCACTACACCCGTACGCCTGCTACCGCAGGCACCGCTCCACGGTGCCTGGCCAGAGCCGGCACGTAAAAGTGTCAACAACATTGGCAAGTATTTTTGGGTTCAAGGGCATAGAGCAACATGGGTCCCAATAAAACCAATGTCATTTTACATCAATATTAAATATAATATTATATCAATATATAAGGTTACGGCGTTAAGCCGTTAGGGTTAGGGTTAGCGGTTAGGATTAGGGCTTAGGGTTAGAATTAGGCGTTAGGGCTTAGCCGTTAGGCACCATTCCGCGCTTATTATTACGGGACCCATATTTTCTTCGTATCCGTGTGGGCCAGATTTTTATTCTCAAATTGCCTTTTATAAGACAACGCACAGCTGATAATTGCGGTGCAAGAACTCGAGTTAGAATTTATCATAGGTAGTCTGTGCCATTTATGCATGCACACGAACAGTATCTTGCTAGTCTAGTATCAGTACTGGAGAAATTAGCGCCCCCCCCCCTTTTTTGCGAGACGGTCGCGCTCGGCTGGTGGTAGTGCCTCGCCCCTTTGGATGCGCATAATGATGGCCGAGGCTATAATTCGCCGACGTCGCGGCCAATAGGGTATTCTTTCTATTCGCAAGCCGCCGCACGTCGGGCCAATAGGAATTCTGGCTATCTTCGCCGCACCGCGAAATTTTTTTTTCAAACGGGGAAGGATTTAGCGCCTTCTGAATTTGGCTGCCTTCGCATTTGCTTTGGACTGCTAAGAAAACCTTCAAAACAAACTAACTTCGAGAACAAACGCTATTTGTAAAATGTTTGTTTTGGCTTAAGATAAGTATAAGTATAAGCCGCTAGATACAGTAATAAGTTTTCTGATGTACTTTTTCATAAAAAAAATATTTTACTCATGTAATATAACATATAATAATTTACTATATATTGCAATTAAAAACGCTGCACGTTGTTGCAAAATAGACGCTGCGGCGGCCCACATATTTTTTTTCGTACGCGTAAGAGCCCAAATACATGACCTTGCCGACCCTAATCCTAAACCCTTACCTAATCCTAACCTAACCCTAATCCTTAACCCTAACCCAATCCCTATTTAAAAAAAATATATTGGTAAAAATTTAATTTTTAATTGTTGTAAAAATTAATTGTTGTATAAAATGTCTGCTAAATAAAATCATGTAAGTATTTGTTGGTGTGGTTGCTCTGAAAGAAAATGTTAACAGATAAGATAGCAAAAATACAGAAAACAGGAAATAATTAGAAAACAGATTTGTGCGTCGTTCGATCCACCGACTTTTCATACCTGCATCATTGCCCGCCTGCTACACGCTACGCTATTACGACATCATGTTGCTTTTTCAGAAATTGGATGTGCCTACTGTATATCGCACTCCACGCGGCATGTATTTGCTCTTACCACTGATCTCTATAAATATATATCAATCATTATCAGGAGTTAATTGCATAATATATATTATCTGTTACTCCTGCATATTATACTTATAGACGATCAGTGCGTCTTACGCCGTTTACGATTAAAAAATATGCGCTGCGCGATGCCGAATAGCTAGGCCTTGCGCTTATTTTGCAACGCACCGTCGCTGCGGGTCGCCCTTCGTAGATTTTATTTCCTAGGTCCAATCAAAAACATAGGGCTTGTAATAAGCGCTAGCTATTGTATGAGCTTTTTCATCGCGTCTATACATAGCCACATCCAAAACTGGTATTCTCGATATGACTCGATAGCCTAGCTGCGTACAGCTCTGCGCGCGCCGCTCAGCTTATGAAAGGTCGGAGGATCGAATCAATACCCGCTCATTTCGTTTTCAATTATTATTCTCTGTTTTCTGTATATTTCTTATTCTTTATCTAGTTTAACGATTTTTTTTCCTAATTACGCAAATATTCACATGATTTATTTACAAACCAGCAAACCATGCACATTCATTTAACAACAGCATATAATTTTTTACAACAATTAAAATTTTTTTATATTAGTTGGTTTAATAGGGTTTGGGTTAAGATTAGGATTTCAGGGTTAGAGCTTAGGGTTTAGGGTTTAGGTTTAGGGTCACAAATGCAGTGAATGTGTTGTGACCCCAAACTTGGAATCTGCACAAACTTGGAATTTCACGCGCATACTGCAGTTTGGCAACCACACTCTTGCAGATTAGGCAAAACCAGCAGGTAAACAGAGCTTGCCCACAAACATATGATTTATTAGGATTTCAAATGTTATATCATAAGGTCGTATACCTTCTTTCCTCAATGGTTTAGGCACCTTTGTATATAATATTAAAATGATTATAAGTAAATAATTGGATAAATATGAGATGAAATCTCATCTTAAGTTACTAGCCCACACGCACACCACACACTCGCTTATGAGCCGCGTTGTTGAATCACCAGACTGTTTATCAGTATTGCCCAATCCTTAGAGATTTGCCGTCAGCCAAACTAGGGGAAATCCGCAGTTTGCGGCCCAGGCAACAATCACTGCACAAATCTTGAGAGATTGTGCAGATTCCAACGTTTGGGTACAACAAATGCCACCATAAAACAGGAGTATTTGAGGCACGTGATTTGTATCAACAATTGGCCCAGCGCTCGTTAGAAGCCCATGTTCTGCATTGACCTAGCGGGAAAAAATCACCGCCGTCGCGGTCATAATAGAAAACCGATTTCTTATTCGGCCCGACCGTACGGCCGATAGAACTTAGTCAGCTTCCCCATAAATCATAATGAATAGTGCGTCTATTTATCANGTGTGTGTGTGGTGGGTGGGTGGTGTGTGTGTGTGTGTGTGTGTGTGTGTGTGTGTGTGTGTGTGTGTGTGTGTGTGTGTGTGTGTGTGTGTGTGTGTGTGTGTGTGTGTGTGTGTGTGTGTGTGTGTGTGTGTGTGTGTGTGTGTGTGTGTGTGTGTGTGTGTGTGTGTGCAGGGGCGTGTAGAGGGGGGCGGTCGAGGGGGTCCGGACTCCCCCTACTCGCGCAGAAAACGCATCTGAGGGGGGTCTAATTTCAAAATTTGTCTGGGGGAGTGCCCCCCACACCCCCCCTTCGCGTGCTCACTACTGGTGTCCCCCCCACATTTCAAAATGGATTTGCGCGCCTGCCGGGCGGCACATATTTTTTTCGTACGCGTAAGAGCAAATACATGCGCGTGGACCCTAATCCTAACCCTAACCCTAAACCTAACCCAATCCCTATTTAAAAAAATATATACAAAATTTTATTTTTAATTGTTGTAAAAATTAATTGTTGTTATTAAAATGTTGTAAATAAATCATGTAAGTATTTGCGTTAATTGGAAGAAAATGTTAAACAGATAAAAATAGAAAAACACAGAAAACAGGAAAATAATTGATGGGATTCGATCCACAAACCTTTCATACTTGATGCTTAATTACGCTGTACACGATACGCTATTACGACATATTGTATTTGAGAATTTTGGATGTGCTATGTATATGACTCCACGCGCATGTATTTACTCTTACCACTGATCTCTATAATATAATATTATCAGGAGTAAGATAATATATATTATCTTACTCCTGATATTATAGAGATCAGTGGCTCTTACGTGTACGAAAAAAATATTCGCTGCCGGGCGAATAGCTAGCCTTGGTTTATTTGCCCGACCGTCGGGCCAATAGTCACTTTCCTATATACATACCGAGAACCGAGAACGCACACGTATATCCCACGTATACGTCCACAGATATAGAATACAGATATATCTGTATTCTATATCTATGGTATGATATTATCATATGGATGCTTATATCAGCGTGCTCTGGCACACGCACACACATAGCGAGAGAGGGGAGGGAGAGAGGAGGAGCCGAGGAGGAGGAGGAGAGGGAGAGCGCAAGGGAGGGAGATAGAGAGGTCAGAGAGGGAGTGAGGGCGAAAAAGAGAGCAAGAGAGGGAGGGCCAGCGGCGTGAGGCAGAGAGAGACGCTCGGTTTTACGATAAGGATGTGTTAAGATCGTCTAGACTATTTAACAACTAAACAAAACTGAACAACGAGCAGCAAATTTAAACTACAACATATGTACCTGTGTCAATTTTAATTTAATGAAGAGCATCTATAAAAATCATTACATTAGGTGTATAAACAAAATTTACAGGAAAAACCTCATTATCAGACAACACAACCGTTTTTTTAAAATTAAGTTCACAATCTTTGACGGTTGCGTTATAGGAAACCAATTACACACTCATTTTTACACCTAAGACCATGTCTCGCGACATCAGAATTTACTTCATGTTCTCATGCAACCAGTGCATGCATGCCTTCGATAATTCCGTATACTGCAGTTTGAAGTACGCATACTACACGTATGAAGCCGGCTCACTCACTTACTAAGTCAACTAGATCATAAATATATCTAGATAAGTGCATACTGATAGATGACAACAAGTTAGAAATACAAAGTACTCTAAACGAGCGTCACCTGTTATCACCGATTGCAAGGATACCAACGGGGTCGTGTGTGAACGGGGAATGAGCACATCAACACACACGCGGTTGATGGAGGGATGATAGAAGCCACGCAAACAGGAAAGAGGGGATATGTATGGAATATTATAACGTCTCGGTGCAGTGTCTACTCGTCGGCAAGACTGTACGTATTACGTATTATTATACATTACGTATGGGGAGCGTGCTAACAAGCATGTAACCGTACATAGATAGCGAGAAAGCACGTGCGCATCATTCAGAGACGGATTCTCCCCCATCTCTTCTGGTATTGTCTATGATATGTGCAAGTAGATTGACATATAGATACAGGCAAATTAAACCTCAATAGCAACGTACAACGTAAATAAACAACCAATGACTCGAAATTATACCGATGTCGCTGTGCGTTAAAAATCCAGATTATTTTTGATGTTACCATGAACGATGTATGTATGGCTATACATATGTTCATAATATTATTTTTAATCATGACATCATATTTACATATATAGTAAGATTTTCGTGAAACGACTGCATAGTGAACATGTGTTTTCTATGTCTATCAGTTTAAGATGAAAAGTTTTAGCTGGTCGTTGATATTATGTAGGCCTACGGTTGCCCTAACCTGGTGTCATACCCCATCGTAGAGTAATTGTTACTCGTGACTACGATCTCATACATGGCATCATCAAGCAAAGGTTTACAAATCTGATCACCGCTAACGCAATAGGACGCTATTTTCAGAAATAAACGTGCTCCGACTCTACACACGAGTGTTTCACACAGAACGGCTAACGTGCCAGGTATAAAGCAAGGTCTGCGAAGCCATTCCACTGTCGTGGCCGTTCAACATACAATCACGCACGTACGCACGCACGAATTCACGCACACACACACACACACCAAATCGATATACAAGGTTCGTGAATAATAGACTCGGCGAAAGATATCACCGCATGTTCACGAGGCCGCTACTATACACTTTCAGTCTATCATAGCGTGGCGTTTAGCAATGCTCACCTAGCATATTATACGGGATATTATAGTGTGTGTGTGTGTGTGCGTTAATTGTGCGTGACAGAAATTCCGGAGAGAAACGCTAGACTGACGTACGGTCAACCTCTCAGAATACGCTCAACATCATGCGATTTTCGATAAGTACAAAGCTCACTGTTAAAATACAGCACAAAACCGACCACTACGTATTTACATCCACTATAAAGCTATATATATATATATATATATATATATATATATATAGCCGATTAATTTTTAAAAGCACTACAGGGCAAAACTGCACGCACAAAACTGCACTGGAGTGTTTAAAAGAGTAATGGGCAAATTTGCACACGTCCCGCCACTCGACTGTGGCACAGACACTCAAATATCTGCCCCTCTGATATGGCTCAGTCCGCCCGCCGGTACGCATGTGTTACAAACATGAGCACCGCTGAAATATTGTTTAGCCGACAGCGACACAAACCGCCCATCACTTCCCTCACACATGCATCTTCACGTATTCGCTCAGTACAACGACAGCAGCTTTTTTGCTCATTTGCCGCCGACCTTGACACGAGAAGAAACGAAGGAGTGGGCGCCTGCTACGCGCGTACGGACCCACCGACGTTCGCCGCCGCATTATATGTACACGCGGATATATTACACAAAAACTATTGTGCGTCGACGCACCAGGAGAGCCTGCCTCGTGATTTGCGATCGTCAAAATTCGATCATTTTTGTTTTTCTTGAGTTTTTCGCTCTCCGACTGTCTCGCGGAATGGATCCGCCGACGAAAGAGAATTCGATGTGCATGTGAGTGATCAAGCGTACACGGCAACAGACACACGTGCTCGTGATTCAGGTCCTGTCCTATCGACCCAGACGGGCCCTGGAACCATAGATTCATTCCACCCGCTATATGGCCAGCCGAGTGTAGTCTGAAAGTACTATTATTACAGAGGATTGGATTGAGACTACTCTTGAACCGTTAAAGTTTACAGACTCAGGTTGGTTACGATCGGAAGTACTTGTAGCGAAAGGATATTTCCGGCGTTCTTCAGAATACTGTATTACATGTATAGACAGATTGGATTTTTTAGGCATAAAGCGCTTGCGCTCTACGCGTACAACTACTAGCGACACCTAGTGGTAACGGCGAGCAGAAAACTCACTTCATTTTACAACAGGCGTAGTACAATTATCGATCACCCCACTACAGACTGATTTGCATTGACCGTACAGTAGATACTCGCGCAGACTTTCCGGAATAAGAACAGTTACAATTATCGTCGAGACGGTACCTAATCATGCAGCGCAATACTGAATCTCATGCACACAAAATCGGTTACACTTGCCGACGTGTATCTCTGCAACCGATACATTTTTGGTCTGATCATGTGCCAAATAACTAACGCGTGGGTTTGCACAAGGTAGGTTACAGATTATATGCATATTGTGCAGAAACAACACGATTTGTCTAAGTGTGAGATCTTTACTTGAATCTCTCTGACATATCTGTCTACATGACAGAATTAGTGTTATATATATACATTTCTGTCATTTATACACGTTGGCACAATATTTTGTATTTGATCAATCTGCGCCATTTTTGGAAGAGTGAAACATTACACAACCAATGACTGTTTCACCAACAAGATTCAATTGGTACAGCTGTCAACTAGCAATTGCACATGTGACAAATATTGTCCTGTGGATCAGTGATTGTGGACATTTACTTTATACGTCAACGGTAAATTTGGTTGTTTTGTTCCAACTTATTTTACTCGAGTTTAAATTAATATACAATATGAGCTAAAAATAAAGTTATACGTTCTAAACAGATCATCTAAAATCTTAATAACTTCTAAAATATGTGAACACGGCCAATCTAATCATAATAGCGAGAAAGCTATTCTCAGCGACTGCTTGAACGTGGCGGTAACTGTCCATCGTTACAGGAGCAACACCAATGTGTTTCCTATCCCAGTGCCAACAATACACAATATACACAACTAAATGCGATGCACCTTCAAGCTGCCGTTCACTGTGTGTCGTAACATTTCACTTACACCATCGTTGACGTTAAAATCATACTTGCTACATGGCTTAAACTAGAGGCGTGTGGATATAAGATGCAGCTATTCTCGCAGTGCGTGGAAGCATTCAACTACAGCCCAGATGCTGACCGCTAGAGCAGAACAGCAACTGGTGTGAGCAACCTTCTAGACACCCACCCACCCCTTTACACTTCCCTCCCGCACTTCCTCGCAAAACTACTACGTTTTCCACGAAACCCAGGTGGGCATCGGAAACATTTTAGTCATGACGCTAGCCTCCGCTGTAACTTCTCTTCCACCCAACTACCCGAATACGCGAAAACCGGAGCAGATCGCAGCAATGACATCCCAGCACACCTGCCAGTGTGTCCATGTTTCCACATTCACACTGGGGATTACCGCCGGACGCCGCCACCAGTCGGAGCAGGAGAGAGAGAGTAGTCGTACCGGCTGGCGTGGTTGCGTTAGTCGGAGCAGGAGAGCAAGTAGTCGGACTGGATGGCCTAACCGCGCGACGCACGCGCGTTAGTCGGAGAAGGAGAAAGAGTAATCGGACTGGCTGGCGTTGCCGGGAGATGGATGCGATTCGTTGATCATGTTGATGGTGTGCTGCACGTAGCCGCTGACGTCGACGTGGATGTTCTCGTTGCGAACGACGAACGGATGCTTCATCAGCACGTTGTACTTGGGCCTCATCGACTCGTCCTTGTTCAGGCTGCGATGCACGAAAGCAATGCAGTCAGTTACGGCGGATATAGATTAGGAATTATGGTCAACGGGTATTGTTAGGGTTAGGGTGAGGGTTATGACTCATCATTGTTTATTCTGCATGTTTCTTCTTATGTGTCACAGTGATTGTAACAAATATGCATTAGTTAAAAACAACACCAATAGAACATCAACGTGAACTATCATCGCCCTGAAAGCTAATCTCGTCCCGTGTAGTCCTAACCCATGCCTCCTGCCTCACATACACACCTACCACGAAGTCCTAACCCAGGCCTCCTGCCTCACATACACACCTACCACGAAGTCCTAACGCCAGGCCCGCTGCTCATCAATACACACCTACCAGAAGTCCAACCCAGGCCTCCTACTTCAGCATACACACCTACCACGAAGTCCTAACCCCATGCCTCCTGTGCTCAACATAGCATCACCTACCACGATAGGTCCTAACCCAGGCCTCCTGCTTCACATACACACCGTACTACCACGAAGTCCTAACCGCAGGCCTCTTCGTTCCATGACACACCTACCACGAAGTCCAAACCAGGCCTCCTGTCTCGGACAATACACATCCTACTACGAAGTTCCTAAGCCAGGCCTCCTGTCCTCAACAATAGTCACAGCCAGGGTTGTTTTTTTTTTCAATGGGAGGCTCTTTTTCATCTGTGGAAAAAATAGCTCTCATCAAAAATGTTACGGGAGCGATTTCGGAGGTTTGAAGAGCGAATCGCTCATCGCTCCCGTGTATTTTTTTACCCTGATACACACCTACCACGAAGTGCTAACCCAGGCCTCCTGCTTCACATACACACCAACCACTTAACACAGAGTCTACCATTCCCGGTTGACCTACCACGTGTTGACAAAGTCGATGAACTCGGGCGAAAACTCCGGATCGTCGTAAGCCAGCTGCGGCGCGTCGCCCTGCACCACCTGCGTCAGCTGGTCGAACACGCTGTTCCACTTGGGATATGGGAAGTTTCCCTTGGCGACCTCGTACTGTAACGACGACGATGCGGAGCGTCACGACTCGCGCTCGCCGGACGGATCGCGGCAACAACAACGCATCGGCGCGCATTCGCGTAGACGTGATTTCTCGAGCAAAAACCCTGCGATACTCGCGCCCAAGCTAATACCCTACAGCTACGTCCCTACGTCTGAGTGGTGGCAGAGGTTGGTGAACGACACACAACATACGAGCAAGATTCGTAACTTGCGATTAACGCATTAGCAGAGATGCCAACACATATTTGAAGCAATCTGTAGTTTCTGGCCATCAAATTAGTAGTTCGAGGGTCACGTAGTGACCAGAGTTTGCTAGGGGGGTCCGGCATGCCCCCCGGAAAAAATGTTTATTCTGAGATGCAATTTCCTGCATTCTGAGGGTCAAAAAGGACAATAAATTGACAAAAAATGACCCAACTTTTTTCCCCCCCGATCACAGTGAAATTCGTAGTTTGTTACAAACTGGTCGTAGTGGTGCAAAAGGAATAGAAATTCGTATAAAATACGAATAAATCGTAGTGGTTGGCATCTCTGCATTAGGGAGGCATATTGACGTTCGGAGAAATCTGCGTCGCATTGTAACGAGCCGCTTGCGGCGGCATTCAGGCACCTACCAGAGTGATTCCCAGGCTCCATACATCTGACCTGACGTCATACCTCCGGCACCGCAGCGGGTCTATCCTCTCCGGCTGCGCAAGGCAAACATATCTACATTATCACGTGCTCGCTAGCAAGAAAATCATAGAGCGTGAGAAGGCAAATCATAGCAGACCATTATTATTATTAATAACATCATCCCCATCATCATCATCATCATCAGCATCAGCATCATTGTCACCATCATAATTAGCAGTATAGGCCAATTAGAGATGATGCCAATTGCACATTATGCATTGATAAATCAAGAGTGAAATAGACGCAATGTGAGCAGAGCAAAAAATAGCAGAGCAAGACCAGCTAGGTAAGCTGTGTGATATCATCTGGTTATAACACACTCACAGCCATGTACGGGCGACAGCCAGCATCACGGGTCTTTGCAATCGAGTCGACTAGTTGACCACTGATGCCGAAATCACAGAGTTTTATGCTCCCTCTCATATCCAGTAATATATTTGAGGGTTTTACATCTGTAACAGGAAAAATTGAAACGGCAGATGAAGATCAATAGAATAGTTCAGAAGCAATACTATAATTTTAAAAGAACCTTCATCATGTAACACAGACAATAGCAGAGGTAAAACATTACCTATTAGATAAATTCCTAGTATAATACATGACTGGTTTAATAAAAATAACTTCATAACTTCTAACACACTTTATTCACTCACCTCTGTGTATAATCTGCAGTTTTTCCTTCAAGTAATTCAACGCTTTTACAGTCTAAAAACAAACATAAAATACTGCTCTGTGAAACGAGCACAAATTCGAAAAGCATTCGTGAAATTCTCAGCGACTGGCTCGTGCAATCTAATTAAAAAAGGCCTTCTCAACGAAACCCCTTGCTGAACATTATTGCATTATATAAAATTAAGAAGCCAAGCATGTCTTCCCAAATTCAATTGTTTTTAATGAAAAGCGACTTTTTATAAAATTACTCACGCTATGTATAATAAAGATGACAAAATCCCGGTAATAATGTCTATCATAATAAAATTAACTATCTAGCTTTCAAAGCTTGTATTGTTAACAACTTAACCTTTCCACGTGCATTTCTACAGAACTACGTGCACGGAATGTATTAGCACATCATTGTATATAAAAGTTACATTTAGTGGCAGAAAAGAAACACTTACAGCGTCTGTTATCCTTCCTAAAATATCTTCTGGTATCGTCTGGTTTTGATCGAATACAAACTTGTAGAATTTATCGAGTGAGAGATCCATCAATTCCATACAGATCCAACAATCACCCTGCAAGCATACCATGTGTGTTAACAGAATACCTCAAGGTTGTTGATTGTCTACACACGTGCAGTGATGCAAACATATTCCATGTTACATTCTTCGGAGCAATGCATGGACCGTTTGGGCTGTGCGGCAATAAAGTCAGACACAAAGCTGACAGTGGACCTTCCGAATAAACCACCGTCAAAATATATTCTCCCTTAGCTAATCATGAAGCGAGAGCTTGGCTTATTAGACTATCACTCTGCAATGCAAAGAAATATTAGCGCAGAAATTTTAATCACATCCGACTCGCACGCCGATGCAAGTAACTCCACGAAGACTGCGGCAGTGCCAAACCTCGTTACTGCACTGGATGTGTATGTGTTCCTACCTCCTAGAAGTACCAAACCTGGTTGCCGCACTGGATGTGTATGCGTTCCTACCTCCTTGAAGAGAGCTCCGAAGAACTGCACGATGTAAGGGCAATCGTTGCTTCGCATCACCACCTCCAGGTCCATCAGCAGCTGCTTCTGCTCCTTCTCGTCTACGGTCGAACGAATCCGCTGCGGGAAGCAGCGCGGACATTTTACACGTTGACAGAGACAGCGATGACAGCGCACGCGACCGCGGTCCAGTAGAGGATGTGAACGTTGCTTGTATCATGAATATACTAATACAATATTGTATGTACTGTATGTATGTATTTTATACAACATTGTATGTACTATATGTATGTATTTTATACAACATTGTGTACACTATATCAGGAGTCTATCAATAGTCTATTGATAGACTCCTGACTGTATGTATGCACTCCAAGCAATGTTCTATAGATACGTTCAGGCTGCTGTGCGTACATGAATTCATATATATGATCAACGACAAATTGAGAGATATAACGTTAATAATAATTCAACGTCTACTCTGTGTTTTGTGGACAATAAAACACGACATCGCAAAACAGACTAGCAATCGAGTAACCCTAACGCTTTATGCAAGTACTAGTCAAAGAACAGCATTTCTCGAGCATCTCGTGATAGAGTACCCCCCTTCCCACCCCCACCCATTGAGGCCTCGTACTATTGAATAAAATTCAAAATGTACTTACTAACGTATTTACATTTCGAAGATCGAATGCTCAAATACAAGGGTGAAGCCAATAAGTAGCGGCAGACGTGTGACTGCACCCTACCTTTACTGCCATCATGACGCCACTCTTTTTATGCACCATCTTGTTCACGGTACCGTAGGCACCACGCCCGATCTCACCTTCATCCACCAGGTCGTCCGCAGTGAAGTCAAACGTCTACCGAAACACACCGAGAAATTAAAGATAAGATCCTGATAAATCTCACTTAACATGATTACGTCTGCCTATTAATAACTAGTGCACGATATGACTGTTGTTGCTATGAAATAACACGTAAATATATGATCAGAGACAAATTGACAGATTTAACATTAACAAGAATTCAATAACTATTCAATATTTTGCTAAAGCATTAATTTTGTCTGCACGCACTTACAAGAAAGTGCATGAAGACACAACCCTTTGCTTAACAGCAACAAACTCTTCTGAATATGGCTAACGAGTATATTCTATGAGCATATTCTATGAACCACAGTAAAGCATTCACTGGATGTTACTTATATATTATTAAACATCATACATGGCCTGAAAGCAACTGCAGCAATAAGCTTTCACACAATGTAAATAAAACCCACCAATTCTGGAGAAATTTTCAATTTTCCTGAAGATTCTAAGCTGTGTGATTTCAGTCTTTCACTAGAAGAGAGAAAATTTTCCTTCTAAACATGGAAACTTGCTACTTGAACACTAATGGATGTCTTTATTCCACAAACATGTAAATCCAACTAAGATTCATAAAGTAACAACGTCCTCACACATCATATTCATTGCACATTATCACATTACCTATATGCATCCAGTGTTTCCCCTGACAAAAAAGGTCTGTGGTACATTTTTTTGGTGTGTTTGCGCATTTTGAGGTCCTAGCAAAGTGTGCACCGCAGGCAAAGTTTTTGAAAAAAGGGTGCAATTTGGGGCATTCTAAGCTATTATGGTGCATAATAATCACTGTTGTATGGAAGGACAGTGATTTTCATCAGCGAGGCGGTGTTTTGGACAAATTTCTGTGTGGCGGCTGAGAATTTGAGTGAGGCGGCCCACCTCGCTCATGCCAATGCAGGGGAAACACTGTGCATCAATAAATAATAGCTATTGGGAATAGTTAAATAGGCATTTCTACGTATTGCTGAAATATTATGCAAAAATATTCTTTCTTAAAGCATTCACACATGCCAGAGTACTTCTATAGAACACAACTTTCCATAGTGATCAATGTTATGTTTAAATACATATGACCAAGCAAATAGTAAATCAATAATCTCCAATTTATGCTGCTATTCCTCATATAGTACAGCTTTCAATTAATGTGACAAGTTTTCCCTTTCTTACCTTCTAAACTTGATCGGCTACAAAATCAAGTGAGTAATAAAAGAAATAAAATATATTTATAACTATAATAGTGGGCACTTCACAACTACTCACATGTGTGTGGGAAACCCCATGCTTGCCAATATTCCTGGTTTCGTTGAAGGTTTTGTGATAGTTGGAGATTTTCCAAAAGAAATTCGAAGGCCCTTTCGTCTCTCGGCTGCCGGGTTAAAAATAACATTAATTTTAGATAAGTTTGAATCACAGGTCTTAATTTTACTATGACACGGATTGATCCCAGAAGATCACAGATGAAAATTCTGTAACAATTATATATATCCTACATGTTATTAGTATTTAGTATTAGCTACATCTATAAGAGTTCATAAATGTGTCTGCAACACTGCCAAACATGTTTCACAATGAAATGAGCGGTGATAATGATATACACTACAAGATACAGTGTGATAAGATCTCCCTCAGTTAACATCAATTAACGATAGTTTAATTAACAATTTGCATTCCATAGGTTGCTATTATTGGATACCTAGTTTGGTGTTGCACATTACGTTAACAAATCAAAACTATTGTTACCAGAAAAGGCATTAGCGGGTGATGCTTAGTTTAGCAACTCAGGCCTCATTTGTGCAAATATGGTCTGTCTTAATCATTAAGGTAACACTAGAATCCACATGCCACTGCGCGTACAGACAATTATATACAAAAATGGTATAGATATTGAATAACTTGACATCATGTACTTATACACTATTATTAATCCATGGATCAGAACACAGGTCACCACACGACACAGGTCATTGAATGAATGCCAATAGCAATACTCATCCAATAAGGGTCATGACATGTTTTTTCATCAATTTTTATACAATGTGGCATCAACAGAAAAGAACTTGGGTAATGTGTTACTTCCTGCAAACAGCCTACCTATGCCACCTCGAAATTCCACCTACGCCACATTTCCTGCAGAAATGGAAAATCTTTTAAAGCTGTAGATTAAAATAGTTGGGTCAGAAATGTGTTAACTTGGTATTTTACTCAATAACTTCACACCTACGCACAAATTAAAAAAAGATTTCGGCCATCATTTGTTGTGGCCAACAGCGTAGACCAGATCCCCCTGAAATAACTTCCGCCGATCCGGCAGTGCGATGGGGGAAAACTCATTTTGTGCATAGGCAGGGTGCAAAATTAACGGGAGTCCGGAGTCAAATACTCCCTGATTTTCTGTCGGTCTCCCTGATTTGACATATGCAGGAGTCCGTGACTCCCTGAAAATTCTGCTATACTAACTAGTTCGTTCCAGAGCACGGCCTCGTGGAATTGCCGTATTTCTTCAGCAAATGTCCAAAGACAATTTGGCAGACGTGCAACCAAATGAATCTTCAAAATAAGCACACGCGTTATTGTTGATATCTTTAGTTTTGAACTTCAGATTGCGGACTCCCTCATTTTGGACTCCCTTGTTCAAAAGTTAATTTTTACAGAGTGGCTATATGCCCGGCAGTCGGCATATATCTGACGGCTGCTGGGCACGGTCTTCGATTTCCAGGGTTCTGCCCAAGGTGGGCGGCGGTGGGCGGGTGTGCCCGGCACTCGCGGTTGCCGCCCGGCACTATAAACGAGTTGGTTATCTCCGCCCGGCACTAATTTCTGTCCAGATAAAAAAAATAGCAGAGCTATTTTTCACTTTGGGCTTTTTATGGGCATTTTATTGCATGGGCATGCATACTTGGGCATGCATACATAACTTATATGCATTTATGGGCATATATGGGCTTTTTATTGCTCAGAATGCAGGAAATTGAGTTTCAGACAATCCAAAATCCAAAATTTTCTGGGGGGGGGGGATGCACCCGGACCCCCTAGATTGGCTTCGCGGCTACGGCGCTTGCATCTACTGGATGCACCCGGCACTAAAAAATCCTGGGCAGCACCCTGGATTTCATAAATGCCCGGCAGTTTATAATTTTCAGCGTTATCTCAAGTAAACAAGGGCTAGGGTTAGGGTTAGGAACTGCCGGGCATTTAGGTAATCGAAGACCGTGCCCGGCTGCCGGGCATATAGCCACAGCGTAATTTTTACTCCTGCATAGCTGTGAAGTTATTACGTAATAATGCTAAGTTAATACATTTTTACGCCATTGTTTCACTAACATTAAAGCCAATACCATGTTAGTAGGGCAGATGGGGTCGTTGTCGTATCAGGTACTACAGATATGTACCCGAGGTAGTTTTAGGTTGTTTAGTATTATGTTTATATTTTTATATGAGGTATGTTTAGGGTTAGGGTTAGGGTTGGTGTTAGGGTTAGGGTACACTTCTGTACAGTACTAGTCCAAGTCTGGTACACTTTGTGTATACATATATATGTACCTCGGGTACATATCTGTAGTACCTGATACGACAACGACCCCTTGAGCGTTAGTAGGCCTACTGCAGGAAATCAAGTTTGTCAGGGCTCAGACTCAGAGGTCAACAAAGTGCCAAGTGGTGTAAACTGTAATAAATTAAATTGTTAAGTAGGTTGTGCAGGATCTAACACACTATCCATAAACTGTTGGATAGAACTAAACCACACATTCTATATATACATACTATTGAAACCTACCTTGGTTGAACCCATTGTATGAATCCGAACCGTCCGAATCTGATGCCATTTTATCGTGTGAACGAGGGCGATGAAACTGACGACCCCAAAACTTGGCCGAGATGGGCCACTTAATCTTATAAATATTCTTATCAATAATGACTAATCGGTTCAAGAACAAAGCTTACAGGGCCTTCGCAATAACACAAATGTGATTTCACCAAAGTCAAGCTCATATTCTTGTCTTGGGCCTTATATTTCCATTTTCACATAAATCGACTTTTCATAAGCGTCAGCAACAAACCAAAGCCTGCGAATCTGGCGATCTTCAAATTGCAGCTTAGTTCCATTTCTGTCCACTAGGACTGCTACGTCGTGGTATAGAGTATAGACTGACACCATGGCTATTTATTTAGGCAACATACCTGTGATACTAGTCTATAAACCAAAATAAGGGATATATATCTAGTCTATTCTGTACCACAACCGGTCACTTGCGTTAAAATGCGCGATAGCATAAACTACTACTTTCGCAAACACATATCACACATAACCGGATCATGGTCCGGATGTCATCACTATTGACGTTAGAGAAGTGACATGTCAGCTCCCAGTACTAGTACTAGTAGTAGTGCTGATGTGTGAGAGCACATAGAAATATGTATAGATATAAATAATATCGCAGACAATCTATCTAGTATATACTAGTAGTAGTA